CAGGCGAAATATGTTTGGACTAGTGTCAGACCAGTGAAGCCAGACGATTGAAAGAGAGGGAAAGGGAGAGGCTGCCAATGTTGCATTTCGAAATTGCACACTGGTCGCATCTGTTTTTTGCTTTTTTTTGCTGCGCCAGTAGTTCGGCCGAAATCTGTCACATATATTTTGCATTTAGAGCTGTTGTCTATGCAAAGCAGCAGCAGCCAGTGCACGCAAATATAACTCACATCTCTTTCTTCCTCTACTTTGCCCTTTCCTGTCATATTTCAGAGCTGAACGAGCGAGCGAGCCAACCACCAAGCGTCAAAAGTCATCTGCATTAGCATCAGCATCAGCAGCAGCAGAAAGTCATCGCCTGAAGGGCAAACAAATTGCCGGCGCCAGACAGACAATCAGACACAATCAGACACATCTACCACTACCACCACCAAAGTTCACCCAATTTCCGACTCCAATAATCGAACTGTCTAACCGTTTCTGAAGAAAGAGGGGGTAACAACATAGGACAACTTGGGAACAGTCAGAGAAGCAATCAAAGGTGCTCTACTCTCAACTTTCTCCAGTGCTCAACTTCAGCCATCAAAATGAACGACACGCAGATTCAGGAGCTCCAGGAGACGTTCAACATCTTTGACAGCAAGGGCGACGGGATGATTGCGGTGAAGCAGGTGGGCGACGTCCTCCGGGCGATGGGCCAGAACCCCACCGAGGCGGACATTGCCAAGTGCCTCAGCGGCACGGCCCAGGAGGAGGCGGGGCCGGAGGGCCGCCTCAGCTGGGAGACCTTTCTGCCCATCCTGCAGTCGGTCAACAAGGGCAAGGACAAGTACTCGGTGGAGGACATCGCCGAGGGGATGCGCCACTTTGACAACGAGGGAAATGGCTTCATCAAGGCCGCCGACCTGCGCCACCTGCTGACCGCCCTCGGCGAGAAGCTGACCGAGGACGAGGTGGAGCAGCTGATGGACGGCGTGACGGTGGATGACGAGGGCAAGGTCAACTACGAGAACTTTATCAGGCAGATTATGAATGGCTGAAAACGGTTCAGCTTGCCATTCTCTCTGCCCCGAACCCGGTGCCAACGGAGTTGTTGTATTGCTGTCGTTTACTGTCGTTTTTTGTTGTTTTTAATTTTCTTTTCTCTTTCTCTCCCTCTCTCGTTATTGCCAATATATGAAATGAAATATGCACACAATTCAGTTTTCAATTAAATTACCCAACTTTTCCTCCCTCCCCCACCTCTGGATGGCTCACTTCACATTTTCACGGCCACTTGTGTTCACTACTGTTCACTTTTTCTATTTATGAAAAGTCTTTTTCCCTTTCTCTCTTCAAATGCCATCCCATTAAACTTGAGCGCGCGCATCCACCAGGCAGTAATTGCCCCATTTAATGACTCTGCTCTGACAAAAACGACAACAGCGGAGAAAGCGGAGCAGCCCCAGATGGTTTGGGACGGTGATCGGGGTGAAAGAAGTGGAGAGTGGGCAATTATTGGCGGGGACAAAAAGTGCACAGTCTTAATTAGAGGCACTAATTAATCGAATGGTTATTGTTTACTGCGATGGTGCTGGTGGCACTTGAAGAGTGCTTCGCCTGAAATGTTTTGCCGGTAGTGATGCTGTGAGGATTCACGTCAGCCAATTCAGTGGAAGCTGAAACTCGACTGAAAAAACCCTTCACAAAACGCCTTTTAAAGCCGCCCGCTCGTTCTCGTTTTGAGGGGCGAAAAGCTTAATCGATAATAACCAATTTTTTGTTNGGCACTTGAAGAGTGCTTCGCCTGAAATGTTTTGCCGGTAGTGATGCTGTTGAGGATTCACGTCAGCCACTTCAGTGGAAGCTGAAACTCGGCTGAAAAAACCCTTCACAAAACGCCTTTTAAAGCCGCACGCTCGTTCTCGTTTTGAGGGGCGGAAAGCTTAATCGATAATAACCAATTTTTTGTCAACCAAACTACCGACTATTCGGTGGCAGCAGAAGGGCCATTAAATGGACGACATTTAAAAGTGTCGTAAACTGCGGCTACGACCGACGGCAAAAAAGCGGCGCTGAAGTACAAAAAAGTTGGTTGGAGCTTCATTAGTTGGCTGCCGGTGTTTTGTGCGTAACTTTTTTTGCTTACCGTTTTTCCACTGCCGTTGCTGGAAAATCAAGCAGTTCCAGTGATGGAAAGGCTGATGTAAAATAATAAAAGCATTTTTTAGTGAATGACAGACAGACAGTCGACAGGCAAATGGTGCAAATGAGAGGTGCAGAGTCACACTCTTGATTATCTGAACACTTACCCTGATGATTAATTGCCTGATGAAGGCGGGTGATGGCTTTTGTGTTTTGTTCTTCTAATCTATACTCAAACATTCGTGCTTGCGCCATTGACATTTGTGGCAGGAAAATGGAAGAAAAGGGAACCAATGAAGCCCACGCAGCCTGCTTATCCTCATCGCCCCGTTTTGATAGCGCCTACCTGCGCTCAAATCTGATCAGCTGATGAGGTTGATTAAGTTGCCGGTAAATGCGCCTCCACAAAACTGATGGCAGGAGTTGATAATAATGGAAAGGCACCAGTTCATTGTTGTGTCCACTACCACTGGTTGCGGTAAAGGCGATGGAAATCAGACTTGAATAAAATAAAAGGTTGCCACCGGTGTGTGGTCATCATTTGAAGACTGCTTTTTGTTTGTCTGAGAAAGAAAAGCTAATGGCGCCGGCATTCGGCTACCCCTAGCAAAAAGAAGAATACAAAAAGTGTCGCTAGAACGAGTTTGAGCATTAGCAGCTGCTGCTGCTGCCGCTTCTGCTTCTCTAGCTTCTTTTCCTCGGTAAACAGAAGGCGAAAGGTTTGCCGAAGCCGTAAACTCGCTCTGCTGTCAAACAAAGCGCTCGAGGTTAGGGGGCAGTGTAACTCTCGAGTTCTTCTTCTTTAACTCAACATAACTTGAGCCGGTGTAACGACCTGCCACTCGGCGCCGGCGACTGATGTCTCTGTGGCTGATGGATGATGAGCAAAAGGAGAGAGAGGGATATGCGATCGTCGCGATCGAACTGGTCTTTGCGGTCTGCTCCCGCCGCCGCCGACTCATGCTGAGCTTTGCTTACCTTTTTCTGCTTCTTCCCTCTAATGTGCTTTGCTGTGACCGCAGCTCTTTTTCATCCTTTTCATCTTTAGTGCAAATCGGTAGATCTTTTTTTATGATGATGATGTACCGGACCGGACACTTCTACTACTACCTTACTGTAATTTTGTTTCACGCATTTAGTTTTGCGCCGCTGTCCTACTGCACAGCAAAAAAAGTGCCGGAGTTAGATGCAATCAGCGATGGAAAAAAGGTGATCAGCTGGAAGATACGTTAATTAAAATTTTGTGATTTCGATGCTCTCCTCAACTCTCCAACTCGATCTCCATCTCCATCTCCGCTGCAGCGACGCTAATCATCTCTGATTTGTGACACTGGAAAAAAGCAGTTGATCATGATTTCTGCCGTTTCTAAATTAGCCACAAAATAAACTGCTTGGCGACATTCCATTGCTGTTAAAGAAAAAGTCTAATCTCCTCAACCTGGTCTACTTTTTTAGGACTCTTCAGCTTTTGAGTTTATTTTCGAAATCATCAACACAAACACAGAACACAGCAATGGCTCAAAGTGGCGGTCACCGTCGAGTCTTCGCCGTTCAAGTGTTCAAAGAAAACTCAGCAAAGTTCACCGTCAACAACGAGAGCAACAGCAAGGTGCACTGGTGCACTGCACCAATCGGTCACGCTGACTGACTGACTGAGAGCTGCTGCTGCTGCTGCTTCTTCGTCTTCTGTTCTTCAGCGGTCGCCAATTTTCTCCTTCTGAAGTGAAGTGAAGTGAGCAGTCAAGAGTGAAGACGAAGTCAAAGAGAAGTAATAATAATAATAATAAAGAGTGGTGGTGGCGGTGCCAAATGAAGAGTGGCCAGAGACACACTGTTGCTGCTGCTGTTCACTGCCACCACCACTCCACATTCAGTCAGCCGAAGTTGGTTGGTTGGCTGAAGAAGTCCTCGTCTTCTTCATCATCAGTTTTTGTCTTANTGCTGCTGTTCACTGCCACCACCACTCCACATTCAGTCAGTCGAAGTTGGTTGGTTGGCTGAAGAAGTCCTCGTCTTCTTCATCATCAGTTTTTGTCTTCTGCTATTGTCTTCTACTTTTGTCCAGCAGCAGCGGTGGCGTCAAGTGGCGCCCAGTAAGCCCATAAATTACACATAGACAACAACAGTGAAGAGACTTGAGCGTATTAAAAATAGATCCAACAGAGCGATTGTGATTGGTACAAATTGGAAACCACAGCCGTCACTTTCCAAAAAACGAGTTTGCCACCACGAACAAAACCGAACAGCTGCTGAGACTTACCGGACAACTGCTGATTTCATCTGATCGAACACACACACAGAATCTTCTCTAGTCATCTAGTCTCTGACCGTTTGTGAGAGTGCCGCCGATGCTTTCAAAAAAGCCAAATCTGCGATAACAAAATCTCATCTCATCTCATCTTCTCATCTAATCATCAACCGAAACTTACCACCCAATGGACCAATGGACTTCAGGTGGCTTTCACGTCAACTCCAGCTGGATCGAGGCCGTCAATCTGATTGTCGTGAAGAAGAAAAAACAAAAGGAGAAAAACAGTCAACAAAACTCAACTTACTACGACTACGAGGTGGCAACCATTGAACGCGAGGGCATTCCTTTTGTCAGTGCCGAGGAGGGCGTTCTGGAGCGGCAAAAAACGGCCACCAGCCGGCGTCGACACTTGCCTGCGGCGAATCTCCACGAAGCCGACTTTGCCGCAGAGTGGCGACCCATCATTGGCCACTCGGTGGTGGAACGATTCGAGAAGAGCTTTGAGCTGCAAAATCAGGATTCGTTCCCAAATTCAGCTCCGCAGCTCTTCACCTCGGAGAACATTACCTGGAAGAGTGCTCAAGCCAAGGTCTCACCCGAAAACAGTCAACTTCTGCTGCCGCCTCAGCTTGCGCTGCGAGTCGCCGCCCTTCGGTGTCTGTTTGTGGAACTGGGCGTTCTTCTTGTGGCGAGCACTAGTGATACGACCACTAGTTCATCAGCGATTGTTGACAGGTGGAGGTCAACGGTGGCCGAGGACCCTTCAGCTTTTCTGCGACTATTTCAACAGGAGCAACAACCCTTTTTGCGACCTAGATTATCTGAAAGCGACAACTTGCTTTTTGAGTGGTGGAACTGGCTGACGCCCACTACCGTCGGGAGAAGTCCTCGCTACGATACTCTTTTCTACCTGGTGGTCCTCGAGGACGAAAATAGCAGCCAATCTACAGCCACCACCAAAACCCTTTCTTCGAACCCCATCGCCTGGAACAGCCCCGATGATCTTTTTTCGCTGTACAGCCGCCATTCCTTCCTCCTCTCGCCCACTCAGCTGTATGAGCTGCTGCGAGTAAGCAGTCACCCGTGGGCAGACTGGCTGCGCTCCTTTGCCCGACAGCGAGAGGAGAGGCATGGCATTCAGCGATGGATTCCCCTGGTTGCACTCTACAGCGACGGCACCATTTCATACCTTCCCGGTACGTTGGTAATTGAGGTGGCGGTTAATTGTTCTGCTGCTGATGCTGTACAATAACAACAAAACCATTAATCTTTTCTGTCTGTGCTGCTATCTGGCCGGCCGCCGGAAACGCTGTACACAATTGAAAGCAAAGCACTGACCAAACATTCCAACGCTCTGTTTTCTTTTTCTTCTGATTCCTTAATCAGGTGACCAGTACTACCCGCCCAAGGTGGACCTGTTGCCCTCGAAGACGGCGCGAATGTACACCGGCATCAGTACGGAGATGATGAGGGAGAAGACGCTAAATTCAAGCAAAAATGCTGCTGTTCCTGTGAATCAGCGGCGGATGAATCGCATTGAGCACAATGGCTACTGGTGCCGGGTGGTGGTCACGGCGGATGAGGTGGCAGCAGGACAGAATGATGACGCACTGGCGAAGGAGAAGAATGCCACAGATAGCAGCAGCTTTGGCCATCTGTCCATCT